GATCATTGTGTGATATAATAAAATTCTCTAAATTTTAGAGTCGTTTTCTCTGTGTTTTTCGGCGTTAATATTGTATTCTTCCCTGTGAATTTGCTGGTAGAACTAACACTATTCTGCCCGGCGTCAGAATAATAGTGGAGTTTCTATGGAATAAGCGATTGTTTTAGGCATTTAGGTTCAATTATTAACAAGAGACTAGCTGGACCCGAACTAAGTAATCGCTATAGCTCACCCCAACAAGAACTAACTAAAGAGAGTAATTCATAGGATTATAGGAGGATGGATGAGATTGAGAAGTGTTATAGAATCATGCATGATTAGAAATCCCTATAAGGTAAAATAGAATTATGTACAATAGCTAGCCCCTATTTGGGCTCCATAAAAATGTGTTTTGGGGAAAAATGTATTTTGAAATAGTTATTTTTTGAAGAAAATGAAGTTAAAAAAGAAGGAAAAGTTTTGAGTTTACTTGTAATATTATTTTATTAGAAAATATATAGTTATAAAGAAGAGAGAAAAAATACATTTTTAGATAAAAAAAAATGGAGTAAACACAGCGGCTTATTATATCTGTAGTTCTTTGCAATATTGAGCGTTAGTCTATTAAAGGACAAAATGTCCAGAACTAAGCATTGAAAAATGAGGATGTTAAGATGAACGTGTGGTTATACTAGAAATGATAAGATATTGAGGATAACTTAAAGGGAAAGATAACTTAGGTAGTTGGAATATAGCATTATAGCCTAGGTCAATGTAAAATGATTAGCATTCATGAGAATGATATGACCTCACATGTTATAAAAGAGGGGAGACCAAAACTATCATTGTCTGTGCTTGCTAAAATCAAATAAAGTGACAATGAAGGATTCAAGCAGTCAACTCTAATTTATTTTGAGTAACACTTAGTTTGGCATCAACGTTGGGGGCACAATCGAACTTGCAAAAAAGTTGGTANCGCGTAACTTTGGCAATTGAGTTAGGTTTCGGTAATTTGGTCATAACTTTGGTTACGGTTATCAGAATTGCGATTATGACCACAATCCGAAAAACTTGTTTGGGTGCGCATGTCATGGTCACCGAGATTTGCTCGATGTTTACCTTTTTGTCCTCAAATTTCGCTATTTTCTCTTCCGAATTACTATTTTTAGTTAAATTTTACTATTTTTAGTAATATTTCGATTGCATGTTAGGAAATGATTTTTAATCCGATTTGAGCTAGATTTTTCACATACTACTTATTTTATTCCATATTTTAAAATTCGAATTTTTGCTATAGAGTCCGACTTGTGGACTTATTTTGATTATT